ATTGGCCCCGTACACTTCGCCAACTCCGTCAAATTCCGCCTGGCTCTCCCCTTCTCGACTCCTAAGAATTGTGACTGCGCGGACAAAACGGCTATCACCGACCCCCGCCTGCCGAACCATCTCCTGCGCTGCGGCTTGGGAAAACACCGCATTAGGAGAAAACATCCTCTGTGTGTGCCAGCCAAGCCGATTTCGCCAAGCAGAGAAAACATCCTCTGTGTGTGCCATATCAATACAAGGACCATTAGAGAGAGAGAGAGAGAGAGAGAGAGAGAGAGAGAGAGAGAGAGAGAGAGAGAGAGAGAGAGAGAGAGAGAGCGGTCCAGTCACACACACAGAGGATGTTTTCTCAGGCGACGAGGCACATGAAGCCGAATCCGCTTGCGGGGCACACACAGAGGATGTTTTCAATGACGGGCTACGGCACAGGCGACTGGCTCACCGCGATCCCCATTGCCCCTGCTAGGCGGATAGGGCCGGTACACTTCGCAAATGCGGTTCGTTTCCGACTCGGCCTACCGTTTTCGACCCCCAAAAACTGTGACTGCGCTGACCACACGGCTATCACAGACCCCCGCCTTCCGAACCACCTGCTCCGCTGCGGCACAGGCAAGCACCGCACGAACACGCACAACGAGCTAAGGGATGCCTGCGTCAGCATGGCGCAAGACGCAGGATTTATAGTGCACAGAGAGTCGGCCGCCTACTGCCCCATCGAGGAGCAAACCGCCGACTTCACTATGACCGACAGAAGCAGTGGGGCGGTTTACATCTGCGATGTAACCATCACTGACCCCATCAGCACCAGGGACCCAGAGGCACAGAAGGGCAGGGGGTGGGCGGCGCGTGAGCAAGCGGACAAGAAAATAAAACATTACGCCAACCGCCCAGAGACGATAGGCTTCTTCCCACTGGCGGTAGACACCTACGGCTGCCCATGTGCCGAGGTCCCGGTCTTCCTCAAGCTCCTGGCAGACACAGCGGCTCGGCGCCACTTCAACGCCGACTCAAAATCCTTCTATGCCGCCAAGTTTCTGCATCAATTCAGACAGAGGTGGTCTGTGGCCCTCCAGAGGGCTCAGTCAGTGGGACTCTTGATCAAATTGGGGGAGGCTGCAGCAGCTGAGAACCCACCTGTTGGAGGCATAGGGCAGGAGATGCACCTTGGGGACTGCTTTGCGGTGGTCGAGCCTTTGCTGGAGCTCTAGAGTGTGTGACGGTGTGGTAGTTGTGTGACTGGTTGGCTTTGTTTGTTGGTTACCTAGGCCCTTATACCGTGCATGCTTGTACTTTCCTGCTATATCAATACAAGGACCATTAGAGAGAGAGAGAGAGAGAGAGAATGGGGGCAGCTGTACTCTGACACGATCGAAGCCAACAACACCCCACCGCCTCCACGTCACCAACCAGACGAGGCGGGAGTTCTCAGCAGGGCGGAAGGCCTGGCCAAGCGAGGAAGCCTCCGCCGAGCCGTGCTGGCCCTCGAGTCAACCCCAGTCTGCCCACCTGGCCCAGCAGTTTTGGAAGAACTCCGCGCGAAACACCCCCGAGCCGATGACGAGCAGCTGAGCTGGCCAACAACACCAGGCCCGAACCTGCAAATCAGCCAAGCCGATTTCGCCAAGCTTCTGGGTCGGTGCGAAAATGGTGTGGGGACCGGACCGTCCGGAACCGCCTTCGAACACCTTCGCGACGCATCGGCAACCAACGCATCGGTCTGCACCCACCTACATGCCCTAGTGAACACCATCCTGGCAGGCAAATTACCCGAACCAGTGGCAGACCTGCTGACGGCGTCGCGCCTAATAGCGCTGTCCAAGCCAGGCGGGGGGGTTCGGCCAATTGCAATTGGCGAATGCCTGACGCGCCTCGCAGGCAAGGCTGCCCTGACCGCAATTGGGGAAGCTGCACGTGACCATTTCCTGCCTCTACAGTACGGGGTGGCGGTACCTGGGGGGGCCGAAGCGAACATCCACGTTGCACGTGCCTTCGTTGACTCGAGAGACCGCTGCGTGGTGTTACAGACAGACATTTCGAATGCTTTGAACAGCATTTCGCGAAAAGCAATCATCAACGGGATCTGCGACAGCAACCTTTCATCACTGCTCCCTCTAGTGCGGCTAACGTACGGTAACCCGTCGAAGCTGTACCTTGATTCGAATTTCGCCAGCCACCCACTGAACAGTGAACGCGGGGTGAGACAAGGAGACCCACTCGGTCCTCTACTGTTCGCAGTACGGATCCACCCAGCACTTCGCGAAACTGCAGATGCCCACCCCCACGTTCTCTGTTTGGCGTATGCAGATGACGTGACGTTTTTGGGGGACAACGCAGACACTGTAGCAGCATTCAATTTCTTCACGAGCAAGTTAGCGCACCTGGGGCTTACACACAATCCGCAGAAATGTGCGGCATGGAGCACGAGAGGCGACGAGGAGATTCAGCTACCGCCAGGAGTCCCGTTATCTCAGGACGGGATACGCCTTCTAGGTAGCTTCCTGGGGCCAGCGGCGGGTGCGGCCAAGTTCCTGGCAGGGCAGCTGGAGGAAATGGCGAAGCCGCTGCCACTGTTAGAACGCGCCGACCCCCAAGTAGCCTCCCTGCTACTGACCCGCTGCATTTCTAGACGCGTCGCATACCTCACAAGGACCACGCCACTAAATCTCCTGCCACGAGACACCTGGGCGCAGTGGGGGCGGGACCTACTAGCTGCGCTCCTGACATCCTGCGGGATTAAAGTCCCGACGTGTAGCACGGAGCAGTCGAGAGTGTGGGCGCAGGCTTCGCTCCCATCGTCCCTGGGTGGCTTAGGACTGACGGACCCGCTCGTGGAAGGGGTCTACGGCTTCGTAGCCAGTTTCACACAAGCCGCGCTCTTCTTTTCCTCCCTGACGCTAGCACCAGACACAGCACTGACCCGAGCACACAGCCACATGATTCTGCCCCGGGACGTCACCACACCGCTCCATTCCTGGCTCACAGAGTGCGAGACTGCCCTGCCCACAGATGCACGCGACGTCGTTGACCAGGAACGGCTCTCTAGGTCAGACATCAAGCTTCAGCACACGCTGGCCCTCAAAGTGCAGGGGAGTCGGTACGCGGTTCAGGTCCAAGAGACAAGGCGAATAAGACTGAATCCTCTGTCTGGGCACACGCAGAGAATGTTCTCACTGACTGGCTACGGCACAGGAGACTGGCTCACGGCGGTACCAGTAGCTTCTTCACGGCGCATGGGGCCGGTACACTTCAGCAACGCCGTGCGCTTCCGGCTGGGCCTCCCTTTCTCCACTCCGAAAAACTGTGACTGTACTGACCACACCGCTATCATAGACCCGCGCCTCCCCAACCACCTCTTCCGCTGCGGCACAGGGAAGCACCGTACGAATACTCATAATGAGCTCCGCGACGCTTGCATCAGCATGGCACAAAACGCGGGGTTCATCGTACACAGAGAAACAAACGTGTACTGCCCCATAGAGGAGCAGACCGCGGACTTTACCATGACGGACAGGAGCAGTGGGGCGGTTTGGGTGTGTGATGTGACGGTAACGGACCCTATTAGTACCAGGGACCCGGAGGCTAGGAAAGGAAGGGGATGGGCGGCCAGGGAGCAAGCGGATAAAAAGATCAAGCACTATGAAAACCTGCCAGAGACAGTGGGCTTCTTCCCCCTCGCGGTAGAGACCTATGGCTGCCCTTGTGCGGAGGTCCCTGTGTTCCTGAAACTCCTTGCGGACACGGCGGCTCGGCGATACTTCAACGCCGACTCCAAATCCTATCATGCCGCGAAGTTTCTGCACCAGTTCAGACAGAGGTGGTCGGTTGCACTGCAGAGGGCCCAATCCGTGGGTCTCATGATCAAGTTAGGAGAGGCAGCGGCTGCAGAGAGCCCGCCTGTAGGAGGGATAGGGCAGGAATTGTACCTTGGGGACTGCTTTACCGTCCTTGAGCCTCTCCTTGAGCTCTAGGTGACTTAGTGGGGTTAGATAGTCTAGGTTACCTTGCGTGTTAGTACCTGCTGTCTCTCATTGCATGTGTGTACCCTTCTGGCCTATCAATATACGGACCATTAGAGAGAGAGAGACCCCCTAGCCTCCTTAGCCTCCTTAGCCGCTTCTAGCATTGTTTCCTTAGTATAAAGTCTCTAGTCTTTGGCCCATGAGGCTCATTCTTCACTGGTGAGTCTAGTTCACTCTCCAAAACCGGCGGCTTGCGCCGGCCACCTTCGGCGGCCGCCGCTCGCCGGCGCGGCCTGCGGCCGCGCGTGAGGTGTGGCAAGGGGTCTCCAGTGACAAGTTTCATAAGAGCATTTGATACAACATGCAGTGGTAGAGCCCTGCAGCAAAAGCAACACCCCCGGGCGTGCCTACACCGCCATGGGGAAGCCCAAGGCTAAGCCAGCTACCAAGGGGGATGGCAAAGGGGACAAACCGGCTACTCAGAGAGTATCCAGCACAGCCTCCCATCCATCCAGTGTAGGACGGATGCGGCTGCTGATACAAGACCAAGAGGGGCCCCCTGAGCAGACTCAGCAAGCCGCAACATTGCCCCAGGGCCGGGCCCGAGCGCAGCACCAGGGGCGCCCTGGACAAGCCCGATCAGGGGGAGATAATTTAGCATCTCCCTTGCTGCGGACACCGCCGCTGACTGCTCCGATGGCATCATCCCCCCAACCTCCACACCCTGCCGCGCCAGACACACGTGGAGTTGGTCCAGCACGTAGGACAGCAGCGTCAAACACGTCCCCACGTGCATTACGCGCTGCTCGAAGTGGAAAGGAGTCGCATCCACACGAGCAGCAACGTGAGGAGCTGGTGGGACGGGTGGGAATAACAGCACCTGGGGAGGCGGTGGGGGAACAGGAGTTGGTGGAGGGCGAGGCGGTTGCGGCCGCGGCGGCAGGGGGAAGTGGCGCAATGGGGACTGAGTAAGAGGCGGCTGTGACGGTTGAGGCTGCGGCTGCTGCGGGGCTGGAGGGGGTTGCTGCTGAGGTGACTGAGATGGTGGCTGCTGCTGAGCTTGGCGGGCCTGACGCTGCCTCTGGCGGCGGCTCAGCCTCACCCTCTGCCATCCCCCAGGCGTGGCAACCAGAGGAGTCGGGACCACCAGTGGCTCAGGAACGGACCAAGGCGGTGGAGCTGGCGGCGTCACCGGAGCCTGTAACGGCGTCTGTGCTGGCTGCGGCGGTGACAGCGACGACAGGGGAACAGGGCGGAGCCCGGACCGAGGAGGGTGCGTCGGTCGCCGCTGCAAACGCCGAAACTTCTGCTGCTGCCGAGGGCGCAAGCACACAGGGACACAACCTGGGGGGGAGCAGTAGACAGGGTCGCGGAGCTGGCGGGACTGCCGGCGCCGCCCGCGGGAAGACGACGCTTCGAGCCCAGCGGGAAGACCGCAACAGGCAGGCCGAGGCGAGTAGAACGCCGGCCCTAGGGGGGGAGAGACGGCTTGCGGAGCAAGGGGAGGAGTGCGAGGGGCCAGAGGGGGACGGGGCGGAAGAGGCCCAATTGTCGCCGAAAGGGTCACGCTCGTGAGAACGGGAACGTGGCGGGAACGCCACGAGCGACCGGAGCAAGCGGAGCCTGCAACGAATCACGACGAAGAAGATGATGCAAACACCGATGAGGGGGGCGATTATGTAGCTGAATCAGCGGAGCCATCAGAGGAAATCTCGTTGGAGGACGAGGAGGGAGTACACATGACGAGAAGAGCTGGGGAGCGAAGGAGAACCCAGAACAATGGGGTAAACCCCCAGGGCGATAACCCTCAGGGTACGAGAATTGGGAACGAGGAAGCGCCACGAGTAAGGGGAAACCCTCAGGTGGTGGGAGAAAATGGGGACGCACCCAACGAGGGACAGAGTGACTCTGGGGTCAGATCACCGTCTGACCTGGCTGATGATTCTGCCATCTGGAATCTAACATCCACGTGGGATAAATACCCACTCCAAAAAGGGGATCAACCCTTCGTGGTCCGCAGAATGCCGCCCAAGATCCTGAAAAGCTACACGCTCTGTCTCCTGGCGCCCCTCATTCGACTCTCGAAGAATCCTGACTGCCCAGGTGCATGGGCGATCCTGCAGTATCTGCCGAGGCTGATGCTACGCGCGGCCTCTGAACCTGTTGAAGGCAGTCGGTGGACAGCAATAGAGCTGCGCCTACACCAGTTCCAACTCGACAGCTGGCAGGCCCTCTACACCGACGCATGTGTTATCCCCGACAATGAGAGCCCGACACGACACCAACCGGATGACGCGGGTTTATGCGCAAGGGCGGAAGGGTTGATACGGAAAGGCAACATTTCCAAGGCGGTAGCAGCGTTACGAACTACACCGCTCGCAGAAGCAACGGCAGCAACTTTGACTACCCTCCAAGCGAAACACCCCCCAGCCGCTCAACCGCTCAACCCTCATCGTGTCAGCGAACGAACTTCGCGAAATCCTGAAGAAATGCCCGAACGGGGTTGGAGCAGGCCCATCTGGCACCTGCTTCGAACACCTCAAGGATCCGGCACTGGCAAACGGGGAGGTGCTTATTCTACTCGCTAAGGTAGTGACGTACCTGCTGAGCACGTTCCAAACACAAGCGACCCGCGATTTGCTGCTGCCTTCACGGTTGATCGCCCTAGAAAAGCCAGGAGGAGGAGTCCGGCCTATTGCGATAGGGGAGGCTATCCTTTGAGTCGTAGCTAAGGCGGCATTGCGTGGTTTAACCGAGAACATTAAGGAGTTTTTCCTACCAGTCCAGTTTGGGGTAGCGATACCGGGAGGCGCAAAGTGTATCGTCCACTCTGTCAGATCGCTACTAAGGGACGACGACACACGAGTAGCGCTGCAGCTGGACATAGAAAACGCCTTCAACAGTGTCGAACGGGCGGCTTTCTTCAACGCTCTCTCCCAGTCCAGTTTGCTGCAGCTCATGCCCCTGGCCCGAACTCTCTACGGGGCACCGTCATCACTCTTGGTCGACGAACGTTTAGGAGTGAACCATATCCTCTCGTCACGCGGGGTGCGTCAAGGGGACCCGCTCGGTCCACTACTCTTCGCGGCAGCAACTCAACCATGCCTGCTAAGCACGGCGACCTTCTTACCGGAAGTCGCGATAGTGGCCTACGCCGACGACATAACGATAGTGGGGCCGAAGGAGGCCTGCTATGAGGCCTTTGGGGCCATTACCAGGGAGCTGGCAACGCTCGGCCTCCGTTGCAACATCGCAAAATCGTCGGCATGGGGACAATCGCTAGCGGATGACGGCGGCACGCCACCTCCCATCGGCCTGCAGCAGATCACAGATGGGATCCGGGTTCTAGGCAGCCCAGTCGGCTTGCCTGCCTTATGCACCACCCAAGCACAAACACGGCTTGATGAGGCGTCGGCCCCGTTACCTCTGGTGGCGCAGCTCCACCCGCAGAGCGCAATGCTCATCCTCACGAGGAGCATATCCCGCCAAATCTCCTACTTTCTGCGGACGACACCGGCGGAAGTCCTAAGGAGAGAGGAGTGGAGGGGGTGGAGTGAGACCCTGATGGCAACGGCACTAGCAGCAGCGAAGCTTCGAGTACCTTCAGACGAGCTGGAGAGGAGTCTGTTGTGGCGCCAGGGGAGTCTGCCGGTCAGGTTGGGAGGCTTGGGGATTATTGACTCAGTCTCCGAGGCACCTGCGGCCTACATCGTCTCGGTCACGGCGGCGCAGCAGTTGCTGCGCCAGATGAACCTGCCTGAGGCCTATCTCCTGAGCAGGGCGGTCGAGCTGCTATGCCACGATTGGACCCCTGTCCCACCCGGCATCAACCCCCTGACAACTCTGGAAGCTGGGCTACCCATAGCTGCATGGGCGGCACTACACACTTACAAGGAGCAGCCGGCGGGACAGGGGAACCTTCAACTGACCCTGTCTTGCCACATCAATGAGACGAGGGCGGCGGAGCTGCTTGCTGGCACAATAGAAGACCGCCCAGGGAAGGACCGTGGGCACACAGTACGGCTCATCAGTTTGCAAGGGGTGGGCGCGGGGGACTGGCTCCATGCCGTCCCAACGAGATCTGACCTTACTTTCGCCCCTGGTCAGTTCTCGTTGGCACTTGGCTTTCGCCTCTGCATGGCTCTTCCAGTCACAGTCACCTGCCCGTGCGAGCGCACCAACACTGCAATCACGGACACGAGCCTGACAAACCACCTCTTGCAGTGTGGGTACGGGGGAGATGTCGTCCGCACACACAATGCTCTAGTGTTTACTCTGCTCCGGATGGCGAAGGAGGCCGACTTCACGGTTTTCCACGAAACCACTGCCTTTTCCCCACCGGTGCTGAGGAAGAGAGGAGACCTTGCTATTCGGGACAAGGAGTCAAATGAAACTTGGGTCACAGACGTGACAGTGACCGACCCAGTGCTGCAGTGCCGTGACAAGCGCGCCCAAAAGCCACCTGGATGGGCGGCAAGAGAAGCTTCAGAGAGGAAACACAGGATCTATGAGGGGCGGCCTGACTACGTGGGTTTCTTTGGGTTGGCAGTGGAAACATACGGTGCCCTAGGTACGGATACACAGCAGCTCATCCGCTTGTTAGCAACCTCGATGGCGAAGAGAAGGTTCCGCCAGGGGAGGCTCACCACCACCACTGCTCGGCTCATCGCTCACTACAGGCAGCGCTTCAGCGTCATGCTCCAGCGCTCACAGGCCTCGTCATTCCTGAACAAGTCGAACATAGGGGACGTGGCAGCCTTCTCACAGGCGGCCAGGGACCCCTGGGAACCTAGCCTAGGGGATCTCTGGCAAGTCCTGGAGGATGAGATGGACGGGGTGATGGGTCAGTGAGCGGGATAGCAATTGCATGGGTGTCTAGCTGAGTGTTAGCCAAATGCATTTCCGGCTCCTGCCTTGTTGGCTTGCCCTGCCTTGCCTTGCTTGCCTTGCTTGGGTTGGCCTTGCCTTGTGTGCCTGTTCTATGTGTTTTGCATCCCCTCCCTTGCCCTCAAGGTCCTGACCTACTGGCACAGAGGACTTGCTCGCCTGGCCACCCGTGGTGCCTACCTCAGCCCTGCCAAGCATTACCGGCTGCTCTTAGTACTAGGGATGTTCTGCACCTGATCTTGCTATGCCTGTACCCCTATGAACCTATCAATGAAGGACTGCTTGAGAGAGGGATAGAGGGTGAGAACGAGGGAGAGAAGGAGGGCGATGGAAGGAGGACTCACGAACCAAGAGGCTCGGGAATTCAAAAAAAAAAAAAAAAAAAAAAAAAAAAGACCCTCACCCGCCCAAGAGGCCCGCATAAGGATGTGAGGCAGCAGTTTTATTATCTCGATCATTGCCAGGGGATATTGGCTGCCTTGGAAAACTACAGAACCGCCACCCTACAAAACCACAAACCACGCGGGTGTTCACGCACACACCACGTTCACTCGTGAGGCCATTCGCGACTTAATGACATCGGGCGCGGCTGCAAAGGAATCCTCGCGGACCGCTCTCTCGTGCGTAAGCCCACTCAACGTGGTGGAACAACACGACAAATGTCGCCTCATTCTCAACCTACGCAAGGTCAACCAACACCTCCAAGTCCCCAAATTCAAATACGAGGGCCTGAATCGGGTTTCAGAGATCATTCGACGCAACGACTGGTTGTTCACCATTGACCTAAAGTCGGGCTACCACCATGTTGAGATGTACCCATCATGCTGGAAGTTCCTAGGCTTCCAATTCGAAGTCGAGTTCTACTGCTTCCGAGCTTTGCCGTTTGGACTGGCTGTTGATCAAGCAATTGGCCAAACGTTCGCATGCATGTGGCGTCCGCGTAGTCCCATATGTTGACGACTTGCTATTCCTCTGTGACTCTGCGGAGCAAGCACGCAAGACATGCACAGAGGTTCTACGCGACCTGGGGGCGGCAGGTTTTGTGATCAACGAGAAAAAATCGCGCCTCCAGCCGGCCCATCAAACACGGTTTTTGGGGATGGAGCTTGACACGGAAAACGGCATGTTTAGCATCGGATCCGATCGGCGCGCACAGTTCTTGGACACGCTCAACACACTCATCTCTTAAGGGCAACGCGGCCAACAAGTCCCAATTCAGCAAGTCGCTTGTATCACCGGAATGTTGACCTCCATGTCCCTCGCATTGGGCACGACGGCACGCGCCTTCAGCCACGAGCTACTACAATTAATTGATGCAGCGGAATCTTAGCACTCAAGAATCTGGATGCCACGGGCCGCCATTGAGGAGCTGATCTTCTGGCAACTGCACTTCGACCAATTTAATGGTGCCCCATTTCACCTGAGCCATCAATTCGATGCCGTGATCCATGTCAACGCGAGCGCTCACAGCTGGGTTGCAAGCAAAGCAAAGGTAGCGGCTCGACGCTACTCACCCCTCTTTTGCCTACAAAAGAGGAACGTGATTCCAGTAGCTCCACCCACGTTCTTCATTTCCATTTTCTAATTTTACTTTCCCACCACCCACCCCATTGTGTATCTTTGATGAACGAGAACGTTGCACTTGCCCACTTGGAATGAAGCACGCTGCCTTCGCAAGACGGACTAAGCAAGCTTTCACAATGTATAAATCACAGTAGATGAAGCTGTGTGGGATTGTGAGGATCTAGGATCGAGCTCAGAAAAGAGAATTGTAATTGAATTGAATGATCACCTGGGTACAACATGAGGCTATATATAGGCTCGATACAAGGCCCAGTAACCAGGTGTTACGCGAAGGTTCCGCGGGTCGCAAAGCGTCCCGAACAGATCCTTCCCGAATTCGGTATAAGGCAATTCGGTGGCAACCGAAAAGCCAGAATTCGGTGCACGCAACCTAGCTCGGTGCTATAACTATAATAAAATATAGGAAAGCACCTAGCCTAGGAAATCAAGCAATTCATGCATGCATATCATTATCCTATGCTAGAAATAGCATAATAAAGTAAAGGCAAGCAAGAATAGCTGGCATAAGCCGTCGTACTCTCACACGTCCCCCCCTCAAAGCTGGTGGCGTGAGAAACACCCTGCTTGACAAGATAGTCCTTGAGAGCACGGCGTGCGTTGCCCATATCAGCTTCTACAACCCAGCTGTCCTCAGTGGGGTCGTATCCCTTCCAGCGTATCCGGAACTCGAGGGCCTTGCCGTCGCGG